GAGCCACCCGGGAAGACCGGCCAGGTCCGCCCGGTTCCTGGCAGGCTTTCTGATTGGCTGCCGGCTTTCCAACCGTTCTCCTCCCTTTGGCCTTGGACTTTAATCCTCTTCGGAAAAATGTTAGCTCGAGGACGATTTCCAGCCTGAAGCTTACGCATCCCTGCGCAGCCGTCTTCCTCTTCCTTTCCCCTCCTAAGCCCCCGCCTTACCCACACCTCGTCCCTCCCTCTCCCTCACAAAGAACTTCACAGGCTTTTCTGAACTCAGTTTCTTTGAGGTGCTAACAACTTCGTAGCAATATAGTCGTTCCCTTCTGGACGTAATCATTCGACTTTTCTGCTTCCAGATACCGTTTTCTATTAATAAAGACAGTCTTTCCCTCCCTAATGTTGCCACTTCAAGATGTTGTGAGGCTGTGCTACCGACCACTTCCCCTAGGATACCTAAAACATAAAACGCTCAAGGCCTTGTGGCTGTTTTAAAATTAATATAGCATCTGCTAAAGTACCTGTTTGCAAAAAGAAAATGAAAAAAAGAAGAAGAAACTTGGAAGAATCTTAAACTATTTATAGGTGATATCTGTTAACAGCACTGCCGCTAGAATTATTTTAACTAGGTAGTAAAATCATGTTATCGTTACACCATTCAACAAAATTTAACATTACCCCTCTCCCCCGAAAAGGAGGGGATTTACTGAGTTAAGGGGCAAATCGCCATGAAGTGGGAAATGACAAACACACTCTCATCCTAACATGGGGTTGGGGAGATCTTTCAGGATAAAAAATGGAGTGCGACTTTTAAAAGGTGTTGGCCAGGAGCTGCTTCCCACGCAAGCCCGTCGGAACGGCAGCAATGAGTAACCGCTAGCCTCCTCAAGCTGGAATCCGGTTTTTCTGGGTGTTTGCACGTCTAAATAAATCTAACGATTTCCCTGCCGCTCTGCAAACACTGATCTCCCCGCCCGCGCGCGGGACTCCTCTACCTCTCTCGCGCCGGGTCAACTCCTCCTGACTGTTTAGCCTGCCCCAGTTTCTGTCCGCAGCGTGACTCCACTGCCCTGGTCCCCGTGGTCCTTCTGGGAGGGCTCCTGTGGCAGCTACCTGTACACTCCCCTTCGCCTTGTCACCTCTCCTTTGCTCTTCCTGTTTCAGCCAATTTATCCACCTTTGATTTCCGGAAGGCTATGTTTTTCTTTTTTTTTAATCCCGGGTCAGACATAAGCACCCTGAAAGAGTGGCTGGAGGGATTCACTGCAGAGACTATAGGGGAAAGGACTCTGCGGGAGAGCCCAGGATGCTGGTGGCGCCGGCCCTGGGGCCTGCAAAAGCCAAAAACTCAAAACTTGGCTGGCGGGGGAAGGAGCGGGCCAAAGCTGAGTAGTGACCCGAAGACAAACCTCGGGCAGCTCCCGAAAGGTGCGAGATTTGAGTTGGGAGCCAACAAGTGTCTTTAAATCTAAAATGTTGAGGGTCTCCCAAAGCTGCCGAAGACGCTCTGGAGCGGCCTCCCAACGCAAAAGATCTGAAACTCCTCGGGTTGGGCTCGGGTTAAATACTGGTTCCAAACTCCGGGTGCCAGACTCGCAGGTTTGTGGTCTCCGGTCGCGGCCTCATTAGTATGCGCCAACGAGGGAAAATGAGGCTTCCCCACAGGTTAATAAACAGCCCATCCAGGCCCAGGTTAACAGGGGCCTCCCTCGCCCTCTCCTGCCCACCCCGCGCCACCTTTAAGGAACCTTTTTCTTGCACGGAGCGTTGCTTTCTCTTTATGTCCCTGGTCGAAATCTCAGTCATATACTCTGTGTCTGGGTTAATGTTTTGTAAGCTCGAGTCTACCTGTCCGAATTTCCAGATCTAATACCAGGTCTGAGCTCATTCTTCAGGGTGTTGAGGGCATCTCCCTAAACCCTGGAGTTGGGGGCTCCCCGCTCCGAAAGTCTCGAAGTGAGCTGGGGACCCCTCTTACTGGACCCCCTGCCTCCCGTCTTCGGTGACGTTCTGGCACACCCAATTTCAGTTGGCGAGTGGGTAAGCTGAGATTTCGTTTCTGCACTTGACCTACCGCAGAAAATTCGCAAATCCTTTGATTGTCTGTTTAAAATGAGGAGGAAACCGGCTCCCTTTGCGGCGGGATTACAGTGGGAACAAGATCTAAAGATTCTCTTGTAATTCGGTGGGGCCGAGGGAACAGGGTTTTGCAAAGGAGAAAATGAGCTCTGTGAGGGAGGCAATAACTAAATCGGGTTTTAGACAAAAGGATTTTCCTCAGCTAAAGTGGCCGAAGACAAAGGAAAACATAATCTATTTTGGAAGGTTTCCAAGATATGCCACATTAACCTTAGCAGATAAATTTTGCTTCTCCCAGGCCCCCCTCTTCCCTTAAAGTCTGGTTTATCATATTTACATAAGTAGCATTAGAAGGGATGTATCTATTATGGATCTAAAGGACTAGCTCACATTTCATGTGAAAACCCGGGCAAGTTTCACTGTTGCTTTACCCTCAGTGCGCGGTTCAGCCATTTCCATTTAAATACCCCCTGACCCAAGGATTACCTCAATGGACTGACTGCACGGGTTTTGTAATTTCCTGAAAATGAGATTTCGATTTATAAAACAAGAAACCAATTAGTAACCAAATGAGGCGAAGTAGATCCACTAAAATTGACCTAATCCCACAGGCACCATTTAGGCCCGTTCTTGGCGAATGAATGATGAGCCCCAGGCTAGCGTGAGCTCAAAGCATCATCCAGCTGTGTTATTGCAGCCAGCAAAAATAAATTGATCGAGCTTTTCCTTCGGAATGAATTTCATACCCTTGACAAAATATAGATTACAGACCCAGCGTCATCACCACCGCCTCCACTCAGACAGGAAGAGAAGGACGGGGAAAGCTTGTTCTACTGTTCTTTCTCTCTTTCTTTCTTTTGATAAATAAACACTACATCTCAATAGCAATGTGTCTTCCTTGTAGTCCTTCCAGGGAACCTTCACCTCCGGGACAGATTGCGATCTGCCTTTTAAGCGATGTGGGGTGGAGGGCGGAGGAGCTGCTCCAGGACCTGACCACAACTTGGTGACCGAAGCAGGGAAAGCCTTCCCAGGCCCAACTCCTAGGTCCGGGAGGCGCGTTTCTGCCACTTAGGTTTCCCGCGGGCGGAGGGTGTAGGGGAGGCTGACCCAGGGGACTCCGTATCTGGGTATACCGCCAGGTCTGCGCATCCTCGCTAACCGCGCAGTGTTCAGCCCTTCCCCCAGACCGAGGCACGAAGTGGCCTTAGCGTTTATTCTCCCGATACCTGCACGGCTGGGCTACCTGGGAGGAAAAGAAAACAGACCGAGAATAGGTGCTACCAGCCGGGCCCAAGCTCCTGAAGCAGTCACTTGCGAGAGGCAGCGTCGCGCACCAAGGCGCACCTGCCCCCATCTCAAGCGCTGGGGCCGACCCTGCCGCGGACCTCTCTGGCCGCGGGGCGGGTGTGGCTGAGCTACCAAGGGCATCTGAGAGCGCGCCCGCGGGGCCTGGCTCCGCGGGACTTGGCTCTGCAGGGCAGCTTGACCCAATGGTGAGAGCGTCCGGTCTTTCCCTGCCTTCTGCCTGCGGGCCGGGAACACCGTGCCCCGGGAATCCACTGAGAGTGTAACTCTGGAGTGGAGATCGGTGGTCACAACGTGACCCTCCCCCCTCCATACTTGTGCTCTGGCTCTAGAATTTGGGCTTCCGGGTCGGGATTGAGCCTTGGGGCCAAGCTGGCTGCGGGAGCCGCGCCCGAGACTGCAATGGACCGACAGACGCTGCGGAAATCTGGGGAGGACAGGCTTTATCCAAGCCCAGACGAAAGCTGGGGGCGAAAATGCAGTCGGGCTTATCAAGAGTGGCCTGTACCGCAGCTGAAAAGCGTTAAGCATTGTCTCCTCGGGACCCCAGGTCTTCAAACGCGCCCGGCCTTGGTGATGCCACCTACTAGAGACCAAGGCACGGACGAATCCCGCTTCGGTTCTACTTGGCCCAAGGGCTCCTGCTGCGGCACCGAGCTTGCTCTCCCGGGAACTAGACTGGACCTTGACTTTAAGGTTTAGACGGCGGCTTGTCCTCGGGGCAGTGGAGAGGCAGCACCCACACCAGCAGCGCTTCTGCTCTGGGCAGGGGGCGGTAGAGCCCTAGCCCGGCCTAGGGAGCGAGGAACCTGTGCAGAGGCCAGGAGCTGGGCCTTTGGCTGCAGCCCCCACGGTCAGAGCATGGGAAATACCCGGCGGACCTGGCTGGCCACGGCTTCAGGCGGTGCGGGAGTCTCGTGGAAAACCTCCACATGCCCTGAGCTACTTAAGTTGAGCGAAGCCTCCCTCCCAGGGCTACCTGCGGCGGGAGCGAGTTTTCTCCCCTGTGGACACTGTTTTACCATTTTCAGAATAACAGGCCATTCCTAAAGAACTGAGGTTCCCCTCGCTACACAAAATCAAAGATTTTACAGATCAGAGGCTGGCAATGAGTGGTCCACTAAAGTCATTAGATGCTAGTGGGATTCAAACCTCATTTTTCTTGAGAAATACTTGGCCTCTCCGAGAAACCCAGCAAGAATCCATGGGTTCCCATAATGTGTCTGTAAAAGCTCAAAGCACCAAGATCCCCAGAACTGAAAAACAACTCCTCAAAAACTCTGGTTTGTCCTCTCATAGCCCGGTTTTAGTTTCAGGTAGGCAATTGTACCCCTCTTGTAAGCATCCCACCACAGCTTAAGATACCTGTTTTTGTTGTTTGTTATTTGCTACTATTTTTATTAGTGATCCCTCTCTTGAAAGAAAAAAGTATTCTTTTTCATTGATCTAATCTACAATTTCTAGCACATAAATCTACCTTGCAAATGCTCTGCACGGAGTTTAGTTCTGCACTCCACACTTTAAGTCAACATCAAAACTGGAATTAAACAGAGAAAAACAGCGTGGAGCATAAACTGTGCTTAAAGGCTTTTAAATGAGAAAAACTTCTGTAAGAAAATAAACATGGAAACCTAATGCTCAATCATTTCCCCAAGAAGCAAGAAAAACAGCCTTAAATCACTGACCCACGTGGGAAATGGGGCCTCTTTTTCTTTTTCAGTTCTTGGCCTCAAAAAAATATATAACACCATGAAGGATTTCAATCTTAAGGTGAATATTATAGAAATGGTCTGTAGAGCTGTGTTTAATCATCCTTTTCCTTTGTAGAGACTCTCCTTCCTGAGCAGTTACTAAGTTCTGCTCTGTGATTATTTTTATTTTCCCAGGACATCTTTACAATGAAATGATAGTGTGATGTTACCAAGATCCTGAATAGCTACAGACTGAAAATATGCCTTGATTCTTTCAGAGTTTATTCTGCAAGCCACTACATCCCCTAGGTAAAACTGCATCACAATTGGATAATAAATACATATTTCATTTTAGTTGAATTTGTCCTGTTTTGCACACAGTCATGTAATCTCTTTTTTTATCCTGTCTTTCTGACTTTGATAGACTAAAGATTTACACCTTTCTCCATGCTTCATTTTTTTCTTTGTAAGGATAATTAGAATAGAATATGTTACCAATAAGAAAATATAAAGTTTTAATGATTGCACAGAGATCTTCTCTGAGTTTCTTTTTTCCTATGCCATCTCCAATTTAATGATCTATTATTAATTATTCTAGGTATCCATATCTCCTTACTCTATATTCTTTCTCTCTCTCTCATTTTCTCCTCTTTCTCTTCCTCTCCTCCATCCTCTCTCATTTTTACCTCAACAGTTCAATTTTATCAATTTAGGTAAATAAAAGCTGAAACTTGCCCCCAGACAGGAAACTACTAGACACTGGGAGAAAAAAAAAAATGTATTCAGCAAATGAATGGAGAGGGGAAGGATGCATATTTTAAGATATTTTTTGCTTTTTCCAAACAAAAGTATGAAAGGTTTTTTGTTTCTTCATTCAACTTATAATCTTTTTTGGCATTACAGGGTATTATAGAAAAAATGTGAGATGATCAAAAAAAGTAACATTTTACAGTATTGTTATGCCTACAGCTAAGTCACCAGATAATTATTTTAGATTAATTTAACAAAATCCATATACTACATGTGGTACAATGTTTACCACGATGAAATTGCAATTTTTATCTTACCCTTAAAATTTTATTGAGGACCTACTATGTGCTAGGATGGCTTAAAGATAGATGTGAAGACGAATTTCAGCTTCAAACAAATTCCATTTATCATCACTGAAAAAGATTACAATCATGTAAAATACATGATTTCCTCCACTGTCTGGGACCCCAATCTTGTCTACCCTCTGCCCTCAGTTCACACTGAACCCACATTTGGCACCCCCTGCAGGTTGTGCCTGGTTCTGCAGCTCCTGACTGTTTTTACTCCTTTGAAAACTTTTGTGGTTTGTTTTTGTTTTTGTTTATTTTGAAGGGCTGTATTAAGGTTTTGAATTTTTGAAGCTTATCTACTGTCAAAATTAAAACCTCATCCCCAGAAGCCAGCTGTTTGGATGACCCTAACTCACTGGAGGCTGTGGGTGAGTTATGAGCTCAACAGTAGCTTGAGAAATAAATGATGGGCCTAGAGTTCACACATCATCCTTCCCTTCCTCCCCATAAACTCACACTCACCCACAGAACGAGGGAGAGGACAGGGGTCTGGGCTCAGAAGTAAGATGAGGGGGACTGCAGAAAGCACAGTCACCTTAAAAGTAGCCAGAGGGGAAGGGCCTAGCCACCAAGGGGACTCCAGCGGGACTCCTCATCAGCTCACTCTAAAAATAACGAGAAGTTGGCTGTGAGAGTTTCCTTTTTGTTTCTGCATAATGCTTTTTGTAATTTGTAGAGTTATCCCTAATTAAACAACAACCAAAAAAGCTTGCTCTTTTAAAAACAAAAACAAAACAAAAACTATGTGCTCGTGGCAGGCCTGCCCCAGGTCTGCAGGAAGCAGAGAGTCCTTGGCCCGAGACTCCCCGGGCCGTCCAGTCCCGCTGCCGGCCTGCCCCAGCACGCCGGCCCGGCCGGCTATTCTTCCCCTCCGGCGATTACTCGCTGCCCCGCAAGCAGCACCATATGCTGCTTCTGATCAAACAGCGAGCAACATCGGCACCGATAATTGACGAGACCAGCTAGAAATCACGCAGAAAGGGAACCCACTGAGACCGCAGGGGCTGACAAATCACTGCTAATAATCCTGTTAGGAACAGCACGGCCAGCGGAGTTCGCAATAGCTTTATTTTTATAAAGTAGGCGCTGACAGTATAAAAGACAACGAGATCTCTTTTTTAACTAGAAGGCAGTGTGGTATAATGGTAATTCTCCCACCAGCAATTCTCAGCACAGTTTGAATGACAAACGTGGGTTTTACTATATAAGTATCCCCTCTTTTTTTTTTCTTTTTTAAAAAAAAAAGTAAAACTTTTCAGGTACTTTAGTCTCTCCTCTATCATGTGGTTTCTAGGGAACTGTTCACGCTTTAAGAGGGAAGGACTGTAAGATTTATAGTTTGAGAATAGAACTGAACTATAATTTTGAAGTTTTTCTTCAGTGCCTCTGACTAATTTGGAGCATGTTTTGCAAGATTTTGACCTGGATGATAACTTTTACGGGGAGCTCAAGCAACCAGCAAAACAGCAAAACTCCAAACCCAATAATGACTATTTCCTCCCCCCTTCATTTAGTTAAAAGAAAACAATTAACCCTAAACATCTAAAATCAACAACAAAATAAACCTCCAGGGGTCAAATAAGAAACTCATTGTAAATAAACAGAGTTCTTTCTTTTGGATTTGTGTTTGTCTGCTTATATTGCAATCTCTCTTTTACATCTCCAAATCCTGTCCCTAGCAAAGATATAACCAAAATATTTTTAAAAGTTTATGATATTTGGATGCAAGTAAATAAAAGAATGGATAAGTGGAAGAGAGAATTGTTCTTTTCCTAGTGAGTATAAATGGCTTTATATAGGACAGTGTTCTAAGAAGGCTGCTCTGTCCTCACACAATGAATCTTGATAATCTAAATACAAGTTTTAAATCATGTCAACAGTTCAACTAGTCTAACTTCTAGGCCTTGTAAGACAATTTTCTTCCCAGGATCCGTTGCCCAACCTGTTGCCCAGAAGATATTTTCTAAGCAGGCTAGCCGTCTTAATTCAATCTAATGTATTTGGGGACGAGGCTATTATCTTAACAGATAGTAACAGATAGTATCAAAGCTGGAGTTGCAAATCACTAAGATCCAGAGTTACTTTCAGAATCTATGAATGTCTTGAAAACTCAGAATAAATTTGCTCTCAGGAGTCAAAAGACAGAATAAATTCAGGACATATTTGTTCATGAATATACCTGCTCCTCATTTGCAGAACTATAGACATATAGGGAAATTATTATCTGGCTTAGCTAGACAGTACATGGGTCTATCTATATCTAGCAAAAATACAGAATTTGGCAATGCTTCTGCTATCTACTGGATACGATTCTGACAAGAGGAATAAAAAAGAAAGTCATGTTTGGATTAGTAGTCCTTTCGATTGAGCCCGGTATCTGAAGTGTTGACAAAAGGACTGTTGGGCTGCTTCCCAACCAAACATATCTGATGAACTGAAGAGAAAGTATTACTGGGGAAGTAGAGGGATCCTCAAAAAGGCAACAGGAATCCTGATTCAGTGAAGACCTTAGTCAAGCAGCCAGACTAAACTTCCCTTTGCAGAGAGTATATATGTAGGTATGTATGCTCCTCTCTGCTCACTGGTTTAGACCCAGCGCCTGGCAAATCTGCCTTTGAAATTCCATCTGGGCAAAGTCACTTACCTTCTGGGAACACCACTCTCATTTTGAGATAGCTGGTCGTGAGTCTGATTATGGATGCTTTGTCCAGCTGCGAGGTGATAGCCGAGGGCAAAGGCAGTAATTTAGCCAGTTCATAAAATTCACTGTTTTCTTTCTCCCTCCTAGTCCGAGCAGCATTTTTGGACTTTTCTTTCATTGTGTCTTGTTCCCCCTTTTTTCTTACAGCATAAGCTCCACAGATTCATCCAAAACCAAAAATAAACTTTCAATTAGAGATCATATTTGGCAAAAACATAAAACATACTTTGAAAGAAGAAGCCGAAGTCGCTGCACCGGGGAGAGTGTATTATTGATGGCATTCAAGCAAACTGAAGATATTTTCTTTTAAAATGCAGGATGTAAGTATAGGACAATTGCTGGTCCACGGCAATTTGGACAATCCTGGGGGTCTCCCTGGTATCAAATGCCGGCGAGACCCCTGAGGACTCAGCCTTTCCTTCTATTCCGCGCAGAGAACCCGGGTTCTCGGAAAATCGACATAATAATCTCCGACGTCTGCTCTTCAGTCTCGCGGCATTTGAGGTGTCTCAGAGCCCCTTCAGAAAGAACAGGAATCCGGGACAACTCCCTCAGGCCACTGCGAAGACAACAGCATCAGAGTATAAGAGACCTGCGCCTCCACAATCACTCACACACTCGTTCTAGTTCCAAAAACTCCCGGGAAGGGCCTCGGCGCGCCTCAGCGTTCCTTGCCAGGCTCGGTGTTTTTGTTGTTGTTGTTGTTGTTATTGTTGTTTGATTTTTAAGATTTGGAGAAATCAGCAGCGAGATTAAACCCCTGCTAATAATGCTCGCATTCCCTGGCCGGTGCTAGCCACATTGTCCAGCCCCCTGGGAAGTTGCCCAAACAACAAAACACTGATTGGTGAAGACCCTCGGAGCCCTCTGGCCGCCGGTGCTGGCTCCCGCGCTCGGCCAGCGCACGTTGCAGAAAAGCAGGCTTCCGCACCTCGGATTCCTCCACAGCGCTGCGGGCGCCCTTCCGTCCCCGAACCTGGCAGATCTGGAGCTTCGCTACCTTTTTAACTCGAATCTCAAGTCTGAGGGAGTCCTCAGGAAGTGGCACTTACACATCAAGTCCCTCGGGACTCCCAAGGCGACCCAGCTCTCCCGCTGCCCAGCAGGGGCGGCAACACGCGGGGCAGGGCAGCGCCAGGTTAACAGGTGGCACCCTCGCGACAGCCCCTCGCAGGCGCCAAGGGTGGGAAGCGTCCCGGGCCTCGCCACTTAGCCGCAGGGCTGCGGGCGCCGCTGGGCAGACGCGGGCGTCTTCTGCCTCACCTACCTTCAGTCCCCGCAGGCGACAAAGGGTGCGGAGGCGCCCATCTCTTAATTGGACTCAAGCCTACGAAGCGACCCCGCTGCTCCGCCGGCCTCTGGACTTCCCACCGGCAGAAGGGAGCAGAGCATTCCCGGGCTCCCTTTTCTTGGTCATGAATTGGGGGAGGGGTGCGTGGCAGAAATGAGGCTGAGGGCTTGGGTTTAGAATCTCCCTCCTCGGTAGCTGCTACAAAGCCAGTACAGTATTAGCCTTAACTGGAAGATGAAAACGCCCCCCCACTCCACCCCCTTTAACTTCTTTACAGCTTACAGGATTTAGCTTCAACTTCACTCCCGGGCTAGATCTCTCCCGCCTTCCCTCGATGCCACTCACAAGCCTCCTCGCCTTCCATTGGCCCGGAGCGACCCGCCACGCGGCGCTCATTGGCCAATCGGGTTGAGTGACGCGAGTTTGCACCGCACGGCCCCCCGCACGCCCCCGCTCCCGGCTCAAGGCCGCACTACCCGCGTGGCCGCTGCGCTCCTAATGAGACCGGGGTGCAGGGGTCGGCGCTGCCTGGCTGCCGCCGCTGCTGCTGTACTCTGTGGCCTTGAGGGAGCCGTGCGGGTTCTTTGGGGTTGGGTGGCTGAGCACTCATCCAGCGCGCCGGCTCCGCAGGGCTGGAGACGCCCGGAGGCAATGGACTGCGGTCCCGGGGCCGAAGAGGTGGGGCTGGCAGGCTGGGGCCCCAGCAAGCGTGGCAAGAGTCACCTAGACTGCAGGCCGCGTTCGCCCAAAGACCTACTCTGAGGGCGGGTCGCGGGGAGGCTTTATTTTTCTCTCACACATTTCTCTGAAAGCACAGTGACACCGAATTCGGAAACAGAGGAAATAAATACAATACCTGTATTTAATTTAATCCCAAGGAAGAGAGTCTTTTCCAAAATGGGTCAGGTTTCGGGGCTGATTTGTTCACCATGGAAGGCTCTGCCAGGGAGTTTTCCTGTGAGGAGCAGCGAGGGGACACTTGGGGAAAAAGGTTACATTTCAAGCCAGAGTTAGAGTGGTTGATACATAGATGGATTGCTCACGACAATCTCTGATCTTAAGTGTCAAAAAACTGTGGGTTTTGTTTTAGGAAACAAAAATCCAACATATTTATTCCATAAACCATACACTCTGCGTGAATGAATTTGAACGTTCACAATTCCTCAATAGGACCTGTTTAAACAAACGGTCACAAGTTAGGGCTCACAAATTGTTTCTTAGGGATCATCTAATTCGAATCACCTTCTCTTTCTCTCATCTAAGACAACAGAAAGCAATGAGACAAGAGCAACGAGAAAAAGTTAAGCTGCCCCAAAGACATTATTGCTGCTCATGAATCACTCCTTACAGATGAGATTCCCCGCTTGGTTTTGGTGTCGCTGGTAGCCACGATCCTGGAAATGCGTTTGGAGGCAGTTGTTTCGTTCGCCATGAAAGTCATTGAGAACACCAGTGACGGTGTACTCCTCCTCGCGTTTGTGGCGCTCACTGTCACTGAGAAAATAAATACGCTGAAGAGGAGTATGTGCCATTCTACTGATACTGGGAACAACTTCGAGAGTATTTGTTTAAAAACACAGACATCTGCCACCTCCCTGCCACCCGATGGCAGTAAACTCGTGGAAGGACAGCGGGAGCGGGGCGCGGGGGGTGGGGATATTTACACATCTGGGCAACACCTGGCAAGAGAAGGAGAACGTTTTGGATAGAAAGAAAGAAACAGAGAAAAGCACAGAGATTTTGTCGGTGTTTCAAAACTGGAAACCAGCTGATGGTCTGAAATCTAGGAGTCCCTTCCCCAGTGACTGCACTCACTTAGAGACCTGGCTCGGAGAGGGTCCTGACCGCTGTTGATGCGCTTTTAACAAGTGATACCTGGGAAGATAAGGAGAGATGAGGTGTGGCTTGCTTCTACAGAGACTCCAGAAACATCGGATAAGGTCAAGTTAGCTACTATACCTAAAGAAGTGGGGAGATAATGCGTTTGAAGAGGAGAAAGAATCTTTTGTGACCCGCCTCCCCCTGCCAAGCAGGCCAGATTGGCGTAAATAAAATGGAGCCGCTGGGGCAGGCAATGACACTTCAGGGTTAAGAAGTAGTTTTCCATTCCTACTGTGTGCTGGAAAGGATTCTCCTCAAGTTCAGGGTTTCTCTAAAACCTCTCTCTACTTCAAACAAGAGCCAGGTGTGGAAGCGCCTTTCTGGGGTCTGAAACCTGCATTCGCGGTGGGGCCTGGGGAGGGGTTCTTAGGGGGTGCCGGCCTATCACACAGAGCGAGTTTCCAACAGAAGAGATTCAGTATTTGCCCTTCACTGGCAAGATGAGTAAAGTAAGTATGGAAACCCTCAGGCCAAAGACTGATATCCTGGGAGGGGTGGGCAGGCTATTCTAATAATGGTCGGTTGTCAATGAATCGAGTAGCTGTCGTTTAATAAACAAAGTGAATGCACAGCCATGAGGTGATGGCCCTTTGCTAAGTCCTTGGCACACAATTGTCTGAACTGCGTTTACCGAGAGAGTAATTAGCATGACGATGTAACACCTGTTTTTCTAATCTTTGAACCTAACTTGGAGCCGGAATGCAGCTCCTTCACTCCACCGCCCTGCGCAGGGACCCAGCTTTGCACCCTCCCGGCAACCCCACCTGTAAGCCCCCACGCGCCCCTGCTATCGGGGAGGCGCAGCAAACCGTGAACCAGAACCTCAGGTGCCTCCCACGTGTTATGAGAGTTTGCGTTCGCCTCTAGCATGGGAAATTTTAAATAAGACTGAGAAACTAATCCTACCCACCTCTGTGTCAATATAAAGGGGGAAAGTCCCAGAAGGAAAGAGATGGGCCCGAGCGACCCATCAACACCAGAGACCCCCACAGAGTTAGGCCGCTGCCTCCTGGCACCAGTACCTTGAAACTTAGCCCTCCTGGCCCTCAGGCAACCAGAACGCGATTCGAGTGCAGGAGAAAACCGGTGCCAATATATAAACAAACATCTCTCTCCTTCCCTCACCAAAGAGGGAAGTCTAGAGTGATAACAAGATTGTTTCCTTGAGAGTCCCTTTCACCTCCGGGGCGACCCCAGAGGTGGTCGTCATCCAGCCTGCCCTCTTCCCGGGATGCCAGGACTTGCAGGCGTTCAGGGCTCGAGCCCAGGGGTCGCCCAGAGCCCGCTGAACGTGGATTCAGATTGGGGAACCAATGTGCCTGTGTGTGCCAAATCCTGCGCACCTCGACAACCCAGAAAGAAGGGAAGGAGACACGGAGAGCCACCTGAGCGCTCCCGACAAAGGGCATAATCCAGACTAGGGAAGGTGAACCTTGGGTGGTAAAAGAACTTGTGAACGCCTCGTGGAATTCCGGTGCAAAGCTACTAGCCAGGTTTCAACGCTGTGGCCCCCACCCCGCTCCTGCTTAGACTCCAACTTGCGATAACTCTGCTTTGCTTTTAGCTGTTTAAGGACCTAATCAAAACTAGAGAGATTTCTACCCCTACCCCGCCGTTTTTTACACACAATACACTTTTACCTGCTCCCACACCACATTTGCACGTTGTACAAAGCACACAAGACATGAATTTTGTTCCATGGCCAAGGTCAGGATGAGGATATATGTATAATCAAAATGCAAAGTCTGAAGGTGATCACTTAAATATCTCAGAATGTTATATCCAGATGTCCACACTCTACCAGAGAAAAGATCAATTTAGGAAAATATTAATGTCCTAGGAAATACTAGCATTTTCTACTCCCACGTTCACAAAGTCAATGTCATCTTGCCCTGGACCCACTTTACTGTCACATTTAGATGCTGGCATCTCTGTGAAGTCGTTGTGGTGTTGAGGCAGAAACAAAGGCCCCTTGCAACTTTGACCCCAGTAGAGTGAGCCTGCCAGAAAACAAAGGATAGGAGAGGCCTCCAAAAATAGGATCAGTCATGTTTAATCTTTCAGAAATTATAATAAATATTCCTTGTCTGAACAGAACGTTGAGAAAAGTATAAGAAATTGCATACCAATTTTTAAAAACCGCCTTTTCTGAGGTACTGTTTCTTAGGTGGTCTGCATAAATAGACCCTTGAAATGTATATTAAAAAATTAGCTTCAGTGGTTACACACTGGGTGGGGGGGAGAGAAAAAGCACTTGAAAAATGAGTGGTAAATACAAGTCAGGATTTTACGTGGTTTCTCTAAATATCCTGGGCGATATTTCCCACTCAGATTTTGAAACTGTGATCTAAAACCTAACCTCGAATCGTTTGCTGAGAAAGTTTTT